CTCAACAAAATGAGAATAGACATATTTAATGATGACCTCTCACTATGCAGATGCTAATAAAGTAATCTGGAAGTCATAGTTTCTTATATTTTTAACTTAATATACTCTATGTTTCGGAAAGTTTTCATTAAAATTTGCCGTAATCTTCAAAACTACCTTAACAGTGTTCATTTCGTTATGACAATGTATTTTACCGATCTACCTGCCATTTTTTCCTAATCTTTGCAAAATTCTCTTTTAGGATTTATTTTTGGTATGGCTTGACCATTGCCTCAGGTTCCTTTCTCTGGAAGATGTGTGGGGTGCACTTTTAAATTTTAACTCATTTTGTAATATTTTTATTTCACTCTAATAGATAAATGATAGTTTGGCTTGCTGGAAGATTACAATTTTCACTCTGAAATCTTTCAACTTGCTTTGCATATCAAAGTCTTTTTTAATAAGTCACCCCCCCACACACACACAAACACATGATGCATGCACCACTAGATATATGCTTACATGGTATACGGGGGATTCTTTGTGGTGGATGTCTCTGTCTCTCTCTGTCTCTGTCTCTCTCTGTCTCTGTCTCGCTCTCTGTATCTCTGTCTTTCTCTCTCTCTCTGTCCCTGTCTCTTCATCTACAGTAGTAAAAGAGCTCGATCCTTGTAGCCAACACACATCCTCTCTCAGGAGGGTCGCCTTCTTTGTGTCCTGATTGTCTTGGTGGAAATGTCACTTTCAGCAAGCAGAATCAGCAGGGCCCCAGGTGGCTCTGGACTGGCCCTGAGGCCCTCCCTCGGTTCACCCCTCCAAAACCACTATATAAATAGGACCCTTTTCTAGCACCCAGAGGTGAACCTGACGTGATTCAGGGCTGTCTCTGGAGGAATCAGCGTGTATGTGTGAGCGTTACTTGCTGGCCACCTGTGGTCGGAGCCCACGGCAGCATCTATCCCCATGGCATCTGCTCATCGATGCCTGCACAGGAGCTGTGACAGAACCTGTCCTCGACTCCGCGATTCCTGCGGCTGACTGCCTGATGCATGAGGGCTTCCTCGCCGTGGTCTCTCACACAGTCCCACTCACTGGCGAGGCCTGGCTCGGTCATGGGGCTAAGGGGGCTGAGTGTCCAGGCAGCGGCCTCTTATGCCTCAGGCCCTCAGGGCTAAGTGTGGCCTCATTCCCCAGCCCAGTGGCCGGGACTTGGGGGACTGGACTTCCTGCATGGAGCTCAGGCCCAGGAAAATACCAGCGGTGCAGCGGCCAGGTCTCACACAGGCTGGGACTCTACCACACAGCAGTCCTACTCTAATGCTAACCCTACCCCTACCCCTACCCCTAACCCCAGCCCAGACTGGAGGGGTGGAGGGGCCGCCCACCTCCTCCTGGGGGTGCACTCGGAGCAGAGGAAACCAGGGGCTGAGGCAGGAGGGTGCTTTGGTGGAGATGGTAGAGATTTCAGCACATTTAATAAAACTGACACAGCATGGGAGAGAGAGAGGGGAGAGAGGGGAGACAGGGAAAGTCCCTCTCTCCCATGAGCAGTCTCAGCTCCCAGAGCAAACCTCTCTGATATGTTTGCTTTTCACTTATATGCATTTCTATCTTCATGCTTACATTTAAATGTCACTTATTAGCAGTTTGCACTGAAATATAATAGTCGAAGTTAACTTGTGCTTTGCCTATTCTCCTACTTGACTTTTTCAGTGTTGGGGATGGAACCCAGGGCCCTGTGCATTCTAAGCAAGTGCTCAACCACGGAGCCACACTCTATGCTCAACTCAAATTTTTTTCTGAAGTTCTGCTTCAGGAAACTATCCATAGTTGTGTTCCTGCATCTTGGCCCATCTTCCTGAGGTTGCATCCCTTGACTTCCTACCACAGGCAGTGCTGATTGGTTGTTCGGCTTGCTGTGGAACTGCAGGCTTAACATTATTTTCATTCGGATCCTTGAAGATATTGCTTTTTTGCCTTCTAGCCCCTATGACAGTCTTGTCTAAATTCTTTCTCTCTAGAAGATTTATGAAACTTCTCTTCAATTTAGTATTTTGAAGTTTCACAAGATGTGAGCATATGTCAATATTTTTCATTTATCCGGTTTATTACTTGGTCGGCCCTTTAAATTTCATGAAATCATCTTATTCCAGCCCTAGGATGTTCCTTGTATTATTTTCTCAAGATCTCTTTGTTTTTCTCCTCTTTGAATCTTCTGACATGTGTTGAACCTGCTCCACTGGTTCTCCCTGCTTCATCTCCGCCCATTTGTGGATGTGAGATATTTTCTGACACAGTCGCTCCCCTTTCTGCTAATCCTTTCATTAAGCTTTTTTTGTTGTCAGTTATTTAATATTTATCATTTAAATTTATGTTACATTTTTAGCTTTCAAGAATTTTTTTTTATTTCCTGGTAATCATTGGTGATTGTAGTACATTTTTGCTTCATTAATAAAATATAAAGGTATCACCAGTTTATTCTATGATATTCTTTGAAATTTCTCCTTTGTTCTTTCCTTACCATGGGGTTAGTTTGACTTGTTCCTCTTCATCCATTTTCTGTTGTTATTTTTCCTTAAATAATAGTACTTCTTGATCATATGTTAATAAACATGAATGAAGAAATATATTTCAACACATAGGAGTAGTAAGTTGCCTTAGGTTTTCTCCGCCTTATAGATTCTGTTTCTTAGCAGGTCCCTCCCTGAACTGCATGGCTAGGGTGAGCTTGGATTATGGCCCCATGTGTTGACAGCAAACTTCTCTCCCATGCACAGCAGGGACCAAAGCTGGCAGGCAGTTACACGGGATGCAGCCAGCCTGCCAAGTCCAAATGAGGGTGTTCATTGTACAGGTGACAGCTCTGAAGGACACCCATCCTTCCCAGACGTGCACTCCCATTTCATAAGTTTTATGTGGTTATTTTCATTTGGGCCTATTAGGGTAGTTAATAAACAGTTTGATAGGAATTCTCAACTATTTCTCTCGATTTCTGCCTTACTTCACCAACCACTCTCTGTTGACTCCTGATGGCTCTACCATCAGGATACAGAAGCACTTCCCCTCTTGCATTATACACAGTTTCCTCTTGGCTTTGTTCTCCAATGGATCCTGCCCAGCTCTGATAGGTCAGACATTAATCAAAATATCTCCTTTTCTTCTGGCCCCACCACCTATCCATCCCCCCTTCTGCATTACAATATTTATTGAGTTTTGAAAGAAACATATGAGTTTATTTTATTGTTTTGAAATGGAAGCTCTATTATATAATTCAAAATCTATTAATTTTATAAAGAAAACACACGAAATGTATTCTTCTTTTTGGCACCGAGAATCAACCTCAGGACCTTGCACCCGCCAGGCACTGAGCTAAATCCCTGGCCCCACAAAGTGTATTCTGAGGACCATGAATTCACTACAGTTCAGATCTACTAACATTTGCTGAATTCCAGGGAAGGAGGATGATTGTGCTAGACACTGGAGATGAAAGGCTGGCCACGCCTAGCTCCTGCTGTTGAGAAACTTCCAAGTCATCGGTGGAAGGCCTACCAGAAAGATAGACAATTTTAATCCAGCAGCAATGCCACGGAAAAGCACATGCAGGAGAGAGACTGGAGGTCAGGTGAAGTCACCCCTTCTAGGGGCCTTGGCAAGGGCATCTGAGTTGAGGGAGAGGTGTGGAAGGATGAGGAGGAGATGGGTGGAAAGCAAGAACGAAGAGGACAGAACATAAACAAAGGCTGCAAACCAGGTGTCCACAGCTTCGCAAGTAACTCAGGGCTGCAGGAGCCGTGGGTACTGGGTCCTGGAGTTGGCAGCAGGTGGGAGACCCAGAAAAGAATCAGGAGACAGACTTCAGAGGACCTGACAGCCCCCACCAAGGTGCAGAGCTATGTTTTGGAAACCACTACAGTTCCACTCCAGAACCAGGTTTTCCTCTCATGCAGAGGTCTTGGTAACAGCATGGACAGAGATCTGGGTACAATTGGAAGCTGGGACATCAGTTAGGAGCCTGTGGTAGTGTGTACGACCTCGGAGAAGGACGACCTAGTGTAAGAGGTGGGTGTTACAATAATTTGGGCGGATGTTGTAGGTAAAATTAGTAAGACCTGTTAATCCGATTTGGCAAATGAGGAAAATAGATGCATCAGCACCGGCTTCTGGTTTTTGGCTGAAAAGGATGAAGATATCTCCAAGTCTCACCAGGAAAGCATGAGGGAGAATACTGTGGAGGAAGCAAGTGGATTAGCTTCTCCACAGAAGCAGAATCAGTAGGTACACTCCTTTGATAAATCTCCTAGATGCATACGCAGACCCCTGTGCACGTACGCGTAGAAAAGACCTGCTACAAGAACTGGCTCCCACGCTGATGGAGGCAAAGAACTCTGTGATCTGCTCTTCACAAGCTGGGGATGCAGGGAGGCCCAGCTGCGCCGCCTGTGTTAGGAGGGAGTTCTGTTCTGTTGGAATGTTTCCTGGAAGTACCTTCACAGGCAGGCGCAGAAAGGATGTTCAGTGAGCTATCTAGGTGTCTTGCGGCCTGGCTAAGTTGGTGAAGAAATTAATCATCACAGAAAGAGAGTCACTTTAGACATGCTGCATTTATTGTGTGTGTTCTTGCTGCCCTGGGGATTGAACCAGGGACCTGGACCTCCACATGCTCAGGGCTTTGCCTCTAAGCGGCAGCCCTAGACCTGATTTATAGTTCTTATGGAGAACCAGAAGCTGTTGCTTAAGTATTGAAGGCACAGACTTAGAGTTGTACATGTGTAGGTGCAGAAACATTTTGAAAGTTGGGTAGTTCACTGGAGAATTCTGACAAGAACTGTCTGAAGGGAAGAGAATAATAAAGTTGCAGAGGAAGACCCAAGCGGGTGTGACGTCATAGACTCCGTTATGGGGTAGTGACTGCATAGAGCTTGTTATGGGATAGTGACTTCATAGAAGGTTAACTGTGGAATAGTTTCAAGGGGGAAAAAGTAGTCCCAGCATCAAGTGCTGTGCCCAGCGTAAGTAAAAACTTTAAAAACCCATTTATTCAGTGATTGAGAGACAGGTGATGCTTCAGGGAAACATCCCAGCCTAAGTCAGACTGCAGAGCGATGAGATGGGAAACAGGTACATATCAAAACAGTTTATGGTGAGTGAAAGGAAGTTAAAAATTCATAGTGGACAGAGACGTCAAGAGAGACCTGGCCCACCCACCACTGGGGCCCCGCAGAGAAAGAGGGCTAAGGAAGAGGGGTTGCTGGGACTGAGCAGGGAAGAGGGGCGAGCGGGGCTGGAAGGAGAGGGGCTGGCACACTGGTCTCCAGCGGGGACCCATCCCCGAGTCCAGAGGGAGCAGGGAGGAGCACACCGTGTCAGCCCGGAGGTTGACCTGCGTGCAGTGCAGTATATTACCTCGAGAGCAGTTTAGTTTGCCCCACCAATCAGGACAGCAGTAATTTTGAAATGGAAAATGAATTTGTAGCTCCAGTGGGTGTTTCCTCTTTTGGGAATTTATACAGACTGACACACACTGGTTCCAGGAGTCGTGATGGACTTTGCCCCATCCTGGAACACAAAGTGTCAGGCGAGTGCTGTGTGTGTAAACAGGTGGACACGTCCACGGATTTATTTTTTATGAGAGCAGAATGTACTTAGGCTTCAAAACATCGTTTGTAATGAAAAGTCACAGGTTGTTAAATTCAATTTGCCGAAATGCAGTGACTTTTTTAGTCCTGTCTTACCGTGAGATTTCAATTTGATCTGTCGTGGCATTTAACATTACCGCGAGGTAGGTGAGGTTTGAGCCCTCTAAGCAACTGCCCACAGAATTGGTCTCCAGTCTGCTCTCTTTTACAAGTGGCTTTGGAATAACAGAATCTGCTCTAAGGCCTTACTTTAAGTGAATTATCAAACAACGGCACTTCTTGTCCTAGGTCATTGCAAACGTTCAGATTTGCCTTGTATCAGCTCCAATACCTTTTAGACCACAAAGTGGTCTTGGGAAGGAAGGCTCACAAAGAGAGGTTTCAGTCCTGACCTGGGCCACTTACCTTTAGATTTTGACCTAATAAAGAAATAAAATATGTTCTTATTTCACCCATGGGTGGGTTTATTGTGTTTCTCAGAGGAAAATTTAATGCTGATTGTTTTAAGACTGCTGTCATATCATAATATTGCATAGTATGTGTGCAAAGATTTGAATTTTTATGATGAAAAATAATTTTATTTTAAAGTACTTGATTTATTAAAATCTAGTGAATTGCAGTTATTACTGTATGACTAGAGAGCTGTCAGAATTATTAAAACCTATGAAGTTATGTGAAACAGCAGTGCTTTCTAAAACATGTTCCATAGGATGAAATTGTGAAAAAAATTTTTTTTTTTTTTTTGGTTTTTCTCTGGTACCGGGAACTGAACTCACGATCTTGCGCTTGCCAGGCAGGCGCTTTTGCCGCTGAGCTAAATCCCCAGCCCCTTTGAAAAAAGTTTTTAAGGAAAAACACAAACCCTAAATTTTTCTCCTTGCCTCCTTCTCTTGCAGATTCACAAAGAATTAAATTAGTGCATTAAATGTTATGAAAATTTTTCAGAGGTTAGAGGTCTCATCCCTTCTGATTTCAAAGCTTATTTAGACACCACTGTGCCTAAAGTAGTGTTGACAGGGTACAAAGGCCACACAGACCGACGGGATGGAGTAGAAGCACAGAAGTCCCTCACCTACGTAGAAAATGATGTTTGACAAGGGTGACAATGTCTCTCAACGGGGAAAGGACAATCTTTCCAGCAAATAACATCAAAATAACTGAGTGTCCACTGCAAGAAAATGAAGTATCACTGTTTATGTAATGTACAAAAATCAACTCAAAGTGGATTAATGATCGAGGCATGAGATTTAAAACATACTGCTCATAGAAAAGAAAAATAACAGCGGAGAAGCGTCACAACATTGAATTTGGTAATGACTTCTTTGTAACAAAAGAGAAAGTCCGTCAGCTCTGAATTGAGTCACTTTAGGCAAGTTCTTGTCCATGTACTCCAGTCTTTCAAGGACGGCAATATCAAATCATCAGCATACGTCGAACTCTGGACATAGTGCAGGCTCTCTGTAAACTTGCTGCCACTACAAGCTCTGCTCTGTGGTAGCTGTGGTCTGTGACTATTTTTTCCCTTACTGTGATTCTTTGTTCCCTGTAAGTTTATTGGTTCTAACAGCTCTAATCATCCAAGCTGCTATAATCACCTCTTCTTCTCTCCTTCTCTCTGTTGCTTTTCTGTTCTTCTGTGCTTTTTCTATACCCTCAACTCTGTTGATGATGATCAATGTGTTATTCACATTACCAGCCAATTACAGAATTGCTCTTTTTCAAGAGATAATATTTTTGTGGGTTCCCAGTTTCTTCTCTTTTTTTTTTTCCTGCAAAGTATGTGTCTTTATCATTTATTGGAACTCTAGCGATCCTCAAAAAAATAGTTTTTGAACTTTTCAAGACTTACTCTATTAGAGATTACAAAGAGCAGCAGAACCGCCAACACATGGTTTCAATCCTAATCAGGTCAATATCCTTCCCAGTGTTAGTCGAGATCCCTCTAAAAGCGAGCTCGAGACAAAGGGCCACATGCAATGTGTTTATATGGAAAGAGATGCCAGGCACACAGAGAAGACGGAGCAGTAAAGTCAGGAAGGGAAGGGAAATACAGAGAAACATGGTCAACTGAGGCAGGTCACTGGGGACTACTTCTGCGGTATCTTCTAGGAACCTTAAGAAATGCATCTCAAAGGAAGAAAAGAAGTATTGACCTTCAGCTCTCATTCCATTTCAGTCCTGGGGACCCTAAAGGCATCAACATTCCTTCATTTCTAGGTTTCCTATGTCTGTGTCTGTGAGTGTCTGGAGGTGTTTGTCTCCACCACGTCAGGACACTTTGGCACCAGAACTGATAGGTACACAGGGCGGGTCTGAGGTCCCGCCCGGGGAGAGCCAGCCAAACAGTGCAGATGACCACACGACGACCATGGTTGGCAGCAACTACTTACACAACTCAGAATAGCTTGTAATATTTTCAGTGTTTCTCCCAACACAAAGAAATGGTGTTTGTGGTGATGGACCAGCCAACTTCCCTGATCGAGGAAATATATTTGTTTATATGTCATATGCCTTTACTGAAATATCACACTGTACCTCAACTATGTGCCAGTCAAAATTTTAATAAATCTAAAAAAAAAAAAAAACCGGCATAGGAGATTAGGAAACTCTGGTACTTGATGACCATGCAATATTGAATAGCATGATTTACTGAGCTGGGGACCCAGCAGCAGTGTGTGCAGGGCTGGTTTCCCCAGCCAAGGCCACAGCAGGAATCGATACTGAAGCAATCCACCCTTCGCACTGCGCAGATCTGCTCGTGTTCACCCTACATCCAGCCTTTCACAGATTCCTCCTCAAAGTGGTGGCTAGATAAACTCTCAAAGACCTAAGGTAGCAGGTAACTGAACAAGCTATGTCACTGAAATTAAAGCTGATTTTGATGCCATATTGGACATCAGTAGTCTAAGTTCTCCATCTGTCATTCTGGATTTATCCACTTTTGGCCAGAACAGTGGTGAGTCCAGCTGCGCGCAGAGCAGAGTGATGCAGATCCCCTCTCTGGACAGGCCTGAGTTCTTCCACCGGGAGCTGCAGTAGTGGTGACCTGATATTCATTGTTGCCATGAGTTGTGGAATTGAGAGCAGATAGTCCAGCGAACCCTCTGGATGAAGGTAAGATATTTTTCTTTCTTTCTGGACTGTTTTTTTTTTTTAGCAGCAATCCTAGATGCTCATGATAACCAAGGTGTGTAACCTTGTTAAAAAGATACCTGTTTGCCAGCCACCTACTATAACAAGAAACTGTGAATGACTAGATGTCAGGTGTTACTTCAGACAGAGTGAATTCTTGTGGCACCATTATATGGCAGTGCTGTCTTCTGGGAACCGGGACTGTTAATACAGCAGAAACCTGTGGGAGAGTGGGAATTCGAACAATGGGTCACTGGAAATGCGTCTCAGAGAGAGAAGGAGCAATGTTTGACCTTCAGCTTCTGCGCCCCTGGGGTAGATTTGAGTTTTCCACGGTGAGAAGTGCCAAAAACTTCTAGTTTAAGAAGCACGGCACCAAATGCTGCATTTTAGTCAGTGCATGCAATGAGTCCTGGAAGACGATGTGCTCATTTTGACACCATTCTCAGGCTACAGATTGTTGTTCTGAATTCGCTACCTTGTTTCTCTGTGGATTTGGTAGGACCTAGTTCACGGGAAGCTATGGGACTCAGACCCTGCTAAAGGTTGGTAGAAGTTTGGATTAATTTTGCAAAGATAGAATGATCCTCTGAAGCAGAAAGCAAAGCTTTGCTCTAGGATGGAGAATCTGCTGGGACAGCCCTTTGTGGCTTGCCAGAGACTCCACAAAATGTCTTTCCTTAGCTTGGCCTCTCTCTTGCCATTGGCTTTGCCAGCTTACGTGGTCTGAGTGGTGGAGTGAAGTTGCTGAGGACTCCTCGCTTGCTATAGATTCACTGAAAACTGTCGCTTCAGGGTTACCTGATGAATATAATACGCACAAATGTTGTGCATGTTGGTTTCAAAGTCCACAGAGGCCTTGACAAGCCTTATATTTTATCCTTGTCTTATGGTGTGAGAGCTGCAACAGCTTGTATTTTTGTCTTAGAAGGGATTTCCCAGAACTGCCCAGATCTTTGGATCCTTCCGGTGCCCTCTACTGTGGGAGGCTTCTGCGTCTGCAAGCTTTTCGGCAGCACAATGCTCTCCAGAATGTGGAGATGATCAAGGTCCTTGCAGAGTCTACTTTGGCAGAGAGCAATAGCGTTAGGACGGCTCTGAGGCACCGTGTGTTACGCCTTCCCCAGCTGAGTGAGCACTTCCACAGCCCCCTTATTAAGTGGATCCAGAAGAGAGCACCAGTTCAGCAGCTGCACACGACCTACCAGAGGAGCATCGATCTAGACCATTAAAATGCTGCATTCTCCACTGTAGCCGTTACCAAGCTGCCACTGTTTCGTCGTGCCCCATCTCAGTTTTGTAGCAGCCAAAGAGGTAAACCAAAGGGGCACGATGAGGAATTTCACCCTGCACCTCCTAATCGTGGTGCTCACCTCTGTGAACTCCTCCAGAATGTGTGATTGGCTGTGCGTTATTGTCCTGGTTGCATGAGAATAATTTCACAGTCCCCACTTAACCCTTTCTACCAAAGTGGGACTGACTTACACCAGAGAACTAATGGGAAGATACTATTGTTTACTAAAATTTCTTCTTAGCTCTTGCTATGGTGTCTTTGTGGGACACTATGCTCTAAATCATGGGTGGGTGCTAACATTAACCCTTTCTCACCCAGTCCTATTCTGGACTCCGCCTAACTCCCTGAAGGCTCACTTTTACATACATTCCTTGATTCCTGCCAAAGGAATTTAGCCAGACCGTGTAATTCTTTTCTGTAAAGGACTTGCGCTTTTAAGAGGGAATGCATCTTTGTGTTTGTACTCTTGGAGGCAGGAGGCAGAGACAGAGCTGGTCCTAGCTGCTAGGCCATTACCTAAAGAAAGTCTAGCCTTGGACATCTTTAGTATGGGGTCTCCAGGCGATGGAAGGTCACACTCCTCACACAAAAGAAGAATTTGCTTCAGCCAGCATGGAAAATTCAGTGAAATTTAGGGGTTCAGGATTACATTCCCAAATGTTCCCGTCCCAACTCATAGGACTCGGTTCTAGTCTCTCAGGGCATTGCTTTGGTCTAGAGAACCTGGGGATGTTATATGTTTGGTTATATTTACTCCTGGATAATCTTGAATCTCTAGATTTCATAAAATTCTTCCCTGCAACCTTGGGAGGTAAAGTCGATTCTCCTATTTTCTTTTCATAACAATTTCAAAGCAATTACAGAATGTCAGATTCACAATCTGTGTATTACCTTTTCCCCTACACGTTTGCAATGTCTCAACTGCTGCAGAAGCCCGTGTCCCATCCTCAGTGTGGCCCACAGCTCCGGGGACAGAAGTTGTGTCGTGATCTCCCACTGTCCACAGGGTCTTCTCTGCCGCTGTGCCACTGAACAGTGGTTCAGGTTCACATTCACATTCTGAAGATTTGCTTCCTGCACAGATGGTCCCAGCCTGGGTATCCCCACAAGTGGTGCTGAAATAATGGGATATATCTGAGAAATTTATTTAGCAACACTATCCTAGCAATCAAGTGTAGGGGAGTGAGATGAAGGGGAAGAAGGATGAATTCGTGTGTTGGCTGTTGCCATAGTGCATTGGTCTTAATCCCATGAAAACTTCCAATTTTTATGACAAGAATTTTAAAAGCGTCCACCCAGAGAAGTACAGAACCCCGTTAGTGTCAGTTCCCAAATTGGTCAGACGTGGGTTTGGGGTTGCACTGAACTCTAGATCCAGTGGACAGCACACCAGGATGAGCTGGAATTCCAGAGACGACAGGCAGATTATCAGTGCTGGCCCGGGGTGAAACTGTCTCTGGCTGCACTTGCGTGCACTTGGTCAGAAGCTATGAAATCAGTGACTGCAGCAGCAACTGGAGCAGTCAGCATGACTGACAGGAGGGACCTGAAGTGGGAGACAAGAAACGTCCTTGGCAACGCATTTGCGCAGCCCTCCAGGTGACCTTCCTGGCTTCCTGCAGTGTGCCTGTCTCCCCACAGAGCCCTGAGTCTCCTCCAGTCAGTCCTGGGCTCTGCCCCAGGCTGGCTTCCTCCTCAGCATGGCCCAGGTAAGGAAGCAGCAAGTCCTGGGGGTCGGCTCATTGTCTGCATCTCTAGATTTCGTAACATTCCTTCCTGCACCTAGGAAGGGAGGGAGGCTCTTTGATCCTCCTATTTTCTTTTCAGTTACTCACTGGGCAACACCGGCCAGTGCTGCTGCCATTGTCATCACCGCCCATCCCCACTGCTGAGCTGCCGCGCTTACTGGTGCTTCCCGAGGTATCCAGGCGTTCCCAGGTGCTCAGCCCGCGCTGCAGGATCTGTGGTGCGCAAGCAGGGATCCCCCTCAAGTGCACAGCACTTAGAGACTGGCTGCTCTCCGCTGCCTCCTTCCACACCCCTCACTGTGCACGCTGGTGCCCTGGGCACCAGGGAGAGCTCCGCTTCTCTGCGGGCTTTGTTTCACTGTTACTTGACCATTTGTCCTTACGGCCTTGCTTGCTGTCATGGTTGTCATTTATGCATCACCCACCTGTAGTCTGCCGCTGTTGACTGCCTCGATGATGTCTCCAGGCCGTGCCCGTCCCACAGGATAGCCATGCTCGGACCGTGGCCATTTTCAGTGAGTTGGGTCAGGGTGGGCGTGTGGGGCCAGGCCTTCCTCAGTCAGTGAATGAGTGGGGTCTCCTCCCTGGGAGGTGACTGTGGGGACAGCAGGGGCCAGCCCCGATCTGTGAGCTGTAAATCTTCATGCTGGACTCTTCTAATCAGGACGGATGCATTGTGCTCTGTCTTGGGGATGAAAGGAGACACAGAAATGCATTTTCCAGTTTTACTAATTGCTTTTTCCTCTCTGTTGACTTGCGTATTTGTGTATCTTGAATATGACAACAAATAATGAATGGATAAGAATTAAATAAACTTCAGGCTTTTAATTCACAATTAACTGTGTACTTCATTCTATTAACCCAGTTAATTCTCCACAATTAAATTAATCATCTTCTTTATATATCCTGATTTATTATGTGAAATACTACCAAATATAGTATTTTATTGTGCTTTATATTTTACAAGACCCTTTTATATCCATTGCTGTGTGTAATTCTCACAGTCACTGGTGGAATTAGGCGAGACTGAGCGGAAGCCACTCTATATGTGGAGAAGTGACTGAGCCTGTGTGCCCAGTCCTACACTTAAAAATTAGCAATGTGCTTTGAAGATGGTCTGCCTTCCAGAGCTCATGTTGGAGTTTAACCCACTGTAAGGTTTTACCCAGGTGGCAACAACCGACTGGTGTTTAGAGGTGACGCGGGTCACATAAAGGGTCTGGGGGGAGCCACTGGTGCCGAAGCCTGGTGACTGCATAATAAGAGGGGGAGACATGAATGTGCACCATCTCTCAGCACGCGATGCCCCATACCCCTCAAGGCTCTGCCAGCACGAAGGCCAACCCATGGCTGCTTGACTCGGACCATGACAGGGAGCCAAAGTAAACCTCTGTCCTTTGTGACTTACCCAGTCTTTGGTGGTGAGCTACGAACAGCCGAACCCTCCCTCTTCGGATTCCCCGTCAAAGGTGCCCTTGGTTGTCCTTCACTGTAGCATCACGTTTGTGATGCCCGTGCACCAGTGAGCTCTGGCTTTGTGCGTTTCCTCTGGATGTGTTACAGGACCCTGGCAGGACATGTGCAGCACGCGCACACTCATGGACACAGTCTGTGATGAGCAGAGTCGTGAGATGTGCAGGAAGGGCTCGGGCAGCCGAGTTCTACTATCTCTTATTTCTTAAATTCAGATCATCTTTTTAAAAATCTTACCACACCACCTGGGGAAGATTTCTTTGCTTTCATCATGCTGTCAGCCACTGGTAGTGGGCATTTCTCTTGCACTGCCGACCCCGGACAGCCGGCCCCTGCAAGGCGGGCTGCCCCAGGCCTGCGTCCGCCCCACTGCCGAGCGCAGGGCCTCTTGTAGGCATTCGGTACAGTCGTCAGTTGAATGAATCAACATTTGGAAATTGAATTTTAGCTTATAATTCTGAAGACATCACATCTTATTATTCATGGTTATATTGGATTAGAGGCCTTGAACAATTGAAAATCAAATTTTAGTTTTCAGTTTAGGGCATTAATATTATCAGAGCCAACCTAAGGCAAAATGATGAAGTAGGCCAAGACAGTCTTAGTGATCCTACGCTGCTGCTCTTCCCAGAGACGCTCGGTAGCAAGCACGTAATCCATTCACCTAAATGTTCAGAATTGCTAACCACAGAAATAGAGACGTTGAAAAAGCCAGAACTGGATAGTAAGGACTTAATGAAATAGAGCTAATAAAACAGATTTAATGAAATCTAAGGTTCTCTTCTGCAAGCAAGCAAATGTCTTTGAAAAGTAAACAGGGCTTGTTTTAGTTCACATGACTCAAGCAGGACCGTAGGAGAATAAAATATTTCACTCGGCTCCAAAGTGGATTGTTTTCTTATCTGTCACTGGCCAGCTGGATTTATTGCGATTGCCACCCATGCCAATGACTTCGTTGAAAATATCATACTTGAATAGCACATTTAGGATTTATTACAATGAGGATATATTTTACACATGTACCTCTTCGTATGCAAGTGACATTGTATTTCTGTTTGGGGGACAGTAAACAATTTGTACAATAACATTAAAATACATATTTTGTGCTAGTGTAATACAAATGGTAGATACTTGCTATTATTGGAGTAAACTTTGAATAGATACCAATTTTTGTTCCTTTCATCATTAGCAATTAGGAATTGTATGGACGTTTGTGCCTCCACAGTAGAAGGGAGCCTGGACATTTTGATGTCCGTGTGAGCTCCCAGTTCCGCGGCATGAGAGGGAGTGGGACAACTTCACTGCCGAGTTTTGGGTGACCATATTTCCCAGAAGATGAAGTTCCATGCCTGAGTTACACCTGTTTCCAACTTTTTAGAAGGCGATTCATTTTTAATCACTGCACCCCATATTTTGTTTATGCCACATATGTTCAATCTAATAATTTATTTTGTTCACTTAGTGCAATTTTCTTAAGACTCCTTCTGTTTTCTCCTTTTCAAGCATTAAAGTTACCATGGAAATGGTGCCCTCGGCATGATGGGATTGCAGAAGTCTCTCTAGCTGCACTTGGTGGGGTTTTAAGATTCAGACTTTGTCATGGGTGAGAAAAATCAAGATTGGCACTCAGCTTCAATATATGTTTCAGCACATTAATTACAGAAAACTATGTTTAGGTAACATTTTGATTGATAATTAAATGATGGGAGAAGGCAAGTTAAATCTTAATGCTCTACTAGTAATGCTGATTTGTTCATATCATACTTCCCTCACAGACTGCCCTTCAGTTAATCTCCATATCACTGATATATGAATCGAAGGCATCTATACCACAATTTATTATTTCTCTATGTGCCTCTATTTGAAAAATTGAAACTAAGAA